TAATGAGACAACGGGAGGATCAGACCTTTGCAATTGCATTAAATCATATGGAATTTGGTACTATGACAAAACTCGAGTAGTTAATTTCTAAGAAGTTCCCGATGATGCCATACATCTATTTTGGTCCAATGAAGGGACAAATAATTTCAATGCCCTTAAGCTCAGTCGAATCCTAACAGAAGCTTTCCTTTCAACTGCAAAAGACTCAGTTAAAGGAATTGGTATAAATGAAAATGATAATATTATATTTTGGAAAGAGTTAAACTTTTCAAAACTTCTGAAACGCAGGAACTGCCCTATGAATTGACACTAAAAACCTCCGCCAAATATATGATTACAGTGAACATAAACACGTGTGATGGCTTGGTTAATGGGGCAGCTGGACAACTTATGTAAATTGATTTCCATTGTTCTTTTCCAACAATTCTGTGGATTAAACTTTTGGAACCTTCTGTTGGTTTGATAGCACGATCAAAAAAGCCTCATCCTCTAGAAAGTTCTTGGACACCAATTGAAAAAGTTCTAAAATCTTTCCAATATAAAAGAAATGAACAAATTTCAATTGAAAGAAATCAGTTTCCAGCTGTTCCGACTGAGGGAATAACTGCTCATAAAAGTCAGGGTGCCACATATAGTAAAGTTGTAGTTCATACTCGACCCAGAATGCCTAGAGGTCTATTCATCGTAGTAAATTTTATTCCTCCTAACAAATTTTCTGAATCGGATCCCGTATTTAGGGAACTGAGGGAATTGAACACAAATAAAGCTTTGACAACAAGTTTCAATCATCAAAATGTGCTAATTGTTGGAGATTTTAACATTTGTTTAATGTCTACAGGGACTGCAATAAGAAATCTGCTCCAAGAAAAAAACTTTAGTTCCCTGGTTGGTGCAGAATATTCAACTACACCTGCCGGTACACAAATTGATTGGGCATTTTCAAACATGGATCCTTCCCGTGTAAATGCAATTACTTTTGAGACAGTACACAGCTATCATGACAGTATTTGTGTCTCTATTTCGAACTAAAGTTTTCAGACTTAGTGCAATAGTTCTTCATTTTTTTTTCCAAATATAATCGAATAGGAATTTTGACAATAGTTTTTAAGACAATTTTAAGAAAAATATGTAAATAATTTAATTAAGAAAATTTAAATTATATATATAATTTGTTATTATATATGACATTATTGTATAAATATATGAAAGAAATTAAATAGTGTAAGGAAAAAAGAAATATAATTTGGATATATGTATAAGAATCTCTACAAAAATTTATTAATTAAAATTAAAATTTAATATTCTAAATATTATATAAAAATTTATATATGATATTATATCATTTTTAAAGTTGTTAATATTTATTATTTTTAAGCTAAACATGTATAATAATATCGGTATAATAAATAAAAAATGTTATTCATTGTCCAAAAACGATTTCTTTTCATACTTCTCAATACAGTTGTAATGCATTCTATATAAAATCAATTATAAGCGTATACAAAAAGCACAAGAACGATTTCTCACAATAAAGTAAATTTAGTTTACAAATTGCTCTAATTATTTTCACTGTGAGTGAAAAGTAAATAACTAAGGCAACAGTTCCTACTTCTAATTATTAAAATATATAAAAAAGTCTCAAACGAATATTCCATTTAAATTTGCGAGAGTATAAAATGTTTCTTTTTAATTTTATAGCTCAGTGGCATTTGATGGAATTATCTCACCCGTCATTAGGTATTCCTCAGAATTGAACGCTCTACAAAATACTCCATTGCGGTAAATCTTTACAGACCTTGATCTAGTACTTAATATTAATATTAAGAGCTCAGACTTTCAGGGAATTTTTTGTTTTTGGTATTTCCAACAAAATTTCCCCATGGGATCGGAAAAAAAAGTGCAAAAAAGAACACCCTAGTATGAACATCTTACAACCAAATATCATTTAAAATATTTACAACTTCATTTAATATATACAGCTTAAGACTTATTAATATTTACAATTTAATCTAATATCTTCAACTTAAAACTAACGTAACCTATGTATATATCTACCTAACTTGAAATCTGAAATTTAAAATAATTTGCTCCTTTTTATACCCGGAACAGGTTATATAATATTAAGTTTGCCACGAAGTTTGTAACACCCCGAAAGAAACGTCGGAGATCCTATAAAATATATACATAAATGATCAGCATGGTGAGCTGTGCTAGTGCCTCAGTTTTAAAGCTATCGATCTAAAATTTTGCACCTGTCCTTTTCTTATTAAGAAGCTACTCATTTGTTTGGACGGCCGATATCGGACGATTAGCTGCCATACAAACTGAACAATCGGAATCCAGTGATTGTATGGGAAACACTTTTATTTGACGTAATATCTTCTCGAAATTTGGCATGAGTTATTTCCTAAGGCAACAATGTAATCTTTGAAAAAAAATGTTTAGATCGGATGACTATAGCATAAACTTTTTTATTTGACAAGGCATCTTCACGAAATTAGGTACGAGTTATTGTCAAAACCAACCATGTATTCTCCGAAAAAAGTGTTCAGAACGGGTCACATAGGACCCTTTGTATTTGTGAAGCATATTTTAGCTTCGGTGCAACCGAAGTTAACGTTTTTTCTTGCTTTCCTTTTCGAAGGAGCCAATTTCCACCTACGTCCCTCCAAATTGTAGTTCGCCAGTAAATTGTACGAAAACAAAGAATGAAGGACATCTACAAAAGAATAAATATTAATATAATCATAAAAAGTAGATTTCCTTTTCAACCAATATGCATATTTACCATTGCATTAACACTGATGTTCGATTTTAACTGCATTACCTATTTTCTGTTGACAATTCTAAAAATATATGAATTTACATAGATATTATGTATAGAAATATTATACCATATTTCAAAACATTTGCAATATATAACTTTGGCGCTTTTGAATTATCGTCTCTGAAAAAAATTTATTATAATTTTTAATTACAAATTTTATACAATTGATTACCTTTCAGAACGGCGGAGCCTTCAGCAGATTAATTTTTTGATGTGGCATCGAAAATATTATCTTCAATGTTAAATATATTAAAATCAATTAATAAAAATCATTAGAAAGATGGGTACTAATAAATGCTTATTATCATACGGCACACAAAAATACTTATATTTAACCACATTCCCATTTATTAGTAAAAGCTACCTAATATAATATAATACCTAAACCGTCATTAGATATATTGGTTCTTCAAAATATGGCTTCAGATCAACTAAAATGACGACTATAAATATATCGGACTCAACTTATTCACCGTTGTATTCCATAGGCCCCGTTTTTTTGCTGAAGCAACCTTTACCTTTCTTATAATTTAGTACAAAAGAACAAAATTTGAAAATTTTACTGGAATCTAAGAAATTTGTTTGTTTTGAATATCTATTTTTTATTTCCTGCAAAATTTTATCCGGTTTTCTAATAATTCTTTTCAACAGTCGAACTTATAGGCGGAAAAATTATCAAAGGGCCATATCGCCTGACACAATCATTTAAATGAAGAAGCCCGTGAACGTTAAAACTAATTAAATGATAACCATATAGTTGTGAAGATAATTTTACAAAATGATTCAAAATTTATTGTGAAATATTTATTCCGATATTAAATCACCTCTCACAAGATAGCAGTCGAATGCCGGCATGTAATAAAAGGTACAATAGTAAACATTTTAATCAATACAGCCTTTTAAAATAAATATTCCGCTAAATAATAAAAATTGTCGGAACTCAGTAGATTTCCAATTACGTGGGACGGTACAAATTTTTCAAGAATACGTAGCCTTTCTTTAATAATAGACATGTCTACTTATAAAATAAGTAATTTGAGTAACTTTTCCATAACTCCTACATCTACTATGTGCATGGGTTCCAAAGGAAACTGTGAAACCGTACCAAATTTCCAAGGGGGCGGTGCCACGCCCACTGTCTATATTTGAACACGGTTCCTATAAAGTTATCTCATACCCTCCCAGAGAAAAATTAAATGTCTCTGGCGTGTTTAGTGCTTGATTTATCACGCTTTTAGTAGTTTTTAACAGTACCGTTACATGGGGAGTGGGCGGAGTTGCCGCCCGATTTCTATTACACTGTAGGTAGAGGTTCTAAAAACATTTACTTCGAGTGAATTTTGTTATTATAGCATTAGCGGTTTAGAAGATATGTACATTAAACCTATTAGGCGCGGGAAGACGCCCACTTAAAAAAAAATTAACTGCAGATGTCCCTCCCCAATGTGATTCTGTGTACCAAATAACAGTCTTGTATCTTATTGCGGAGCTTAGTTATGGCAATTTATTTGTTTTTGATTAATGGCATTTTGTGGGCGTGCCAGTGATCCGATTACGCCCATATGCAATACCAACCGTCTCACCAAGAAACATGTCTACCAAGTTTCATAAAGATATCTAAATTTTTACTCAAGTTAGAGCTTGCACGGACGGACGGACGGACAGACAGTCACCCGGATTTCAACTCGTCTCTTCGTCCTGATCATTTATATATACATAACCCTATATCTAACTCGATTAGTTTTAGGTGATACAAACAACCGTGAGGTGAACAAAATTCTTATACTCTGTAGCAACAGGTTGCGAGAGTATAAAAACACAGAAATTCAAATTTAATGGGGAATGTTTATTATCATTCGAAGAACCATGAACAAGGCCTGAATCGAAGCAGGATTACCCGTATAGACTTTAGACTTTACATATCCACAGGAAAAAGTCTAATGGTGTGATATCACACGATCTTGGAGCGCCAATCGATCGCCCCAAAACGTGAAATTATCTGCTCACTGGAATGTTCTTTCAATAAATCCCTTGATTGTTGCGATGTATGGGAAGCGGCACCGTCTTGTTGAAACCAAATGTCGTCGAGATCACGATCTTCAATTTCAGGCATCAAATAGTCGGTTATCATGGCACCATAACGGTCGACATTGACGGTTACGTTCTCACCGCCGTTATTTTAGAAGAAATATGGACCTATGATTCCACCGGCCCACAAACCACACCAAACTGTGGTTTTCTCTGGATTAAATGGCAGCTCTTGAATCTCAGAACCGGAAACGCCGGATTTTCTTGGAACTTTTCAAGAGCCCTTAGAGGGCAGCGATGTCGCTTGGGAAAGTCGAGCGGCTTCAATTCTTGCACAAACTGAATTTTGTACGCTTTCCATTAAGATCTCGACATACAATAAAATGCGCCAGGTCATTCCATACGTCAGTCCAATATGCTGCGAACGGCGCCGAATCGACTCTCCACGGTCGTCGTATACACTCTCAGCTACGGCCGATATTTCCATCATTGTGTGCTGGACGGGAACGTGAATTTTCGTAATAAATTGGAAAGATTTGTAAGCGTTGTTCAGGCTTTAGTCCTTACATGATGAAATGCCAAACAATACAGAACAAAAATAACATGGCGACTCACGCGTGATTTGTCAAAAAAACAGGCTTTTGAAAAAAGTACCCCTCTGCTTTCCCGTATGAGACATAGCCATCGAGGTAAAACATCAATTACCAAAAACTTTTACAACCTGGTTTTCTCCTTCTTTCAGTCCGTGTGATACTATCTCATCACAAAATTTTTAAGGAAAATGGTCTGGATTACCAGGTTTACTTTTTCTGTGAAAACAAGCAATTAAAAAGGGGCTGGTTTTCGGTAAACTGAACTTGAACCTATTATGGGCCATACACAGCTAAGTTAAAAATAACAATCTCCACTTAAATTAAAAGTTTTTTCATTAAACTTATCCTGTGTTGTGTTCCGAGTTGTACGCTTAAAAATTAATACAAGGTGTGTTCCAAAGTAAACAGGACTTTAAAAAAAAAGACAGAACAAATTGTTTTATCGGCAAAATCAATTAATTTTATTCAAAATAGTCTTCTTCTGTTTTAATACAGCTTTTTTCACGGTCCAAAAGCATGTCGAACGAGTGTTTTAGCTCGTTGCCCGGTATGGCCGCCAGTATGCCGGTGCAAGCCTTTTGAATGGCCTCCTTGTCTGCATAACGCTTTCCTTTCATTGGCAAATGCATTTTTCCGAAAAGGTAGAAGTCGCACGGTGCCATATCAGGTGAATACGGGGAGTGGTTGATTGTTAAAATGTGATTTTTGGTCAAATAATCGGCCACAAGCGTCGATCGATGAGACGGCACATACGGCACACCAAACGCTTCAAAACTCCAAAGTAGAATACCGCATTAACGTTTTGGTCGGGTGGAACAATCAAATCAGCATTGTCTTCACTTTTGACTTCTCCAGGCGCGATTTTTTGGGTTTCGGCTCGACCGGTGCCTTCCAGTTCGGGTCTTTTTTTGACTCTTTAATGATGTCCTTCGAATGTTGAATTCTGAGCAATTTTTGGTCGTCAGTCAAATTGTGCGGAACAAACCGTGCACACACCTTTTGTAAGCCCAAATGTTCGGTCAAAATGTGATAAATCGATGTTTTGGAGATGTTCAATTCTATTTCCATGAATTTCAATAATGATTTCGGCTGATTTTTTATGAATTCACGCACAGTTTCGATGGAATTTTCGGTGATCACGGATTTTGGTTGGCCCACATGTTCATCGTCATTTATGTCCTCACTACCACTTTGAAAACGTTGGAACCACTCGTGCACTCTGCTATGGGATAGGCAATCATTGCCATAAACTTGTTTCATCAATTGAAACTTTTCGGTAAAAGTTTTACCAATTTTAAAACAAAATTTAATGTTGGCTCTTTGTTCGAAGCTCATTTTCGCACCGATGACAAAAACATACTGACACTTAAAACGTAATAACTTCAATAGATGAAATGTCATGATATTTTTACTGGAAGTCGATAAAGGATAGCATATTCTAACGCATTAGTCGACATATAGATGGCGCCACTAGAGTTTACTTTGTTACTTTTTTACTGTTTACTTTGGAACGCACCTTAAATGTATTACAAGTAGGTGTTGTGAAAAATAAAAAAAGAGTATAATTTAATTGTGTATCAAAGCCAAATATAACTAAATGTTGAATAATATTGTTTTATATACATACTAATTTTCATTTTTTGCTGCGAATACTTGATTCTTTTATTGATATAGTACTGTTGAGCAAAAAATCAATACAGATATATAAAATTTGACTATCTGTTTGTATATTACTAAAAAATTTTAAATAAAATACATATCGATGAATCACAGTACATATACCAAAATAACATATTTTACACGTTTTGTCTGTATGACTGTTTTTTGCCTTATAATACCGTCAAATTTTTTAACTAAGGGTTGCTTTACCCAGTAACAACTCTACGTAACATATTCATGTGCGAGAAATGCGAATTCTGTTATTGTTTTAGCCCAAGAAAATCGTATAAGATAAGTTATATATAAAAATAATCTCAACAAAGTTAATACGATAAACTGAAACAAAAGTAATAATTAAAGTAAATGTGCAAAGATAAAATAACACTAAAATTAACATAAAAAATACAGCAAATACAGAAAACAAATACAAGTAGTTAAAGAAAAGTAAGTGTTAAACAAAGAGTTATACCCTCCATTACATTACTAGTTTTTCGCGAAGATCGAACCAAACCGAATCGAAAACTATAAGTCTTCTGCTGAAATATAATATATATATACTCTTTTATATATATTGATTCTTAATCTGGACACCTTCCTCTTTACGCCCATGCATGGACATACATATATATAAAAGGTGCCAAAAATTAACGCAAGATTGGAATTAAATAGAAAACACAGTACATAAGATAGGGTTATTTATGGAATAACACATCGGGCAAATGGACTCCACGGTTTTCTATACACATAGGTACACGTTTGTCCAAATTTTCAGTGACTATTCTGCATAAATGTGGTTGAATTTCATTGATTCCACGTTGAATCTCCTCCTTTAAAGCACGCGTGGTTGGATTTTAAATAACCCCATAAAATGAAATCTAATGGATTTAGGGGTCCAATTCTGATCACCGAAACGAGAGAGTACACGACCTGGAAATGTCCCATGCAGTAATTGAAGTGTTTCACGGGCTGTATGACATGTGACACCGTTTTGTTGAAGCCACATATTGGCCACATCAATATTACCCAATTTCAGCAAAAGGAACTAGGTTATCATGTCTCGATGTCGAGCGCCAGTAACAGTTACTGCTTGGCCTGTCTCATTTTCAAAAAAGTATGGTCAAACTATGCCACCATCTTTCTAATACATTCAACTATCAATTCTCATAAATGTTGCTCCTCTTACAACATAATTTTTCGTTTAACAACAAAAAGTTAGATATGGATATGTAGTGGTGAAAGAGGTGAAACTTTACAAGTGTAGTAGTGAATTGGTTACCTCCGTCTTACAGGGCGGTTAGGAAAAATTGTTCACCTTTTCATTAAGGCGACGATATTTGCATCATAATATTTTGGGG